GCACAGGAGCATGGTTTTCAGGGGTGACTCAAAGGAAAAAATTGATCTCACAGTTATTACATAAGTAACTGGCACCATTAACTATTTTAGAGACAGAATTTTAATAAATTTTTGGTGGACCTCATTGAATATGTCACTTAGGTATGTACAATTTAAAATGTGCAATTCAATTACATCTTTATGCTTATGTCAAATGATGGAGAATTGTAGTATGACAATGTCATAATTCAAAATTTGATTATTACTGAAGTATTGAATGCAGCTGCCGAGTAGCCCATGAGTCTGGGGACCATAAATTTCATATTTTCAAGTTTTAATAGTTTCACAATAACCTTGTAACACACGAAACCATACTTGAGCATTCCAATGACTAAGAGCAACAGTGCAAATGTAAATATAACCTTAAACTCAATTTAAAGCAATATGGCCGCACAAACTTAGTACATGTAAAGTTTCTCAATCCTATAATTTGGGCCGTGTGATGGGTGACTATCCAGCACGGTTCGGAGAGCACTTTTAGTCTTTGCTGGTGAATGGAAGGATATTAATAGACATTCCTTGAGTCAATATCACCATAGGAAAGTTTTTTAAGGGTATCTAGTAAAGTAGTTTTACAAGCATGGAAACATATTTTTCATTTGTAAGAGGAGAAACTTAGTAAGAATAAAAATTTAAATATTTAACATATAATTATCTTAATAAAGTTGAGTCAAATTAAGCCAAGACAAAGTTTAATTGAGTCTAACAAAGTTGAGTTGAGTTGAGTCGAGTCAAGTCAAGTCAAATTTTAAATTTGACTCAACTCGATTTTTTGAGCTCAAATTTGAACTAGAGTTGAGTTGATCTCAGCTAAGTTTGAGTTGAGTAATTTATAAGTAATTCAAGTCATTTATAATCCTATCGTTGCACCTTATTCGGTCTTAAAGAACTTCAACCTCTTTATAATTGTGCAGTCATTTTTAATCAAAACTTTTGATGCCCATTTCTTTTAAATTAAACCCAACTCATTAAATATCTTACTTTCAAATAATAAAAACTATTAAATTAAGAAAAAAAGTAAAAATCAAAATAACGAATTGCAAATTGCTTCTTTTTTTTTTCTTCCTTCAAATTAACATTTTTTTTTTTAATATTGTATGGCTAGAAATGGGAATTTCCACAAATAAGGGGCCACAAACCCCAATAGAATTTCATTCTGATTCTTAAACATAAAAAATAGGATGGCAAAACACCCAAATTCACTCCCAAAGTATAGTAGCAAGGATGGATTCACCTCCAAACAAAAAAGAGGACAAATTCATTCACAATATTTTCAACTTGGACAAATCACCTCAAATTTAACATGTGAGATCATCTAATGTCAATAATCTATTAATTTGTTATGTCACTAATAAGTTCATTATTAACGGATTGCTGATGTCAGATGACATGACATGTTAAACTTGAAGTGATTTGTCCAAGTTAAAAACTTTGTAAATAGATTTATCCTCATTTTTTTTTTTTTGAGGGTGGATACGTCCATGCCACTATACTTTAAGAGTGGATTTGGGTATTCTACCAACTAAGGGTATTGGACCAATGAGGGGTTGGATCAAGTGGCAAGCGCCTTGTTCCAGTTTAAGTAAGATCTCGAGTTCGAGACCTTGTGTACACAGCAGCCTTCGTTGGGAGGCCCACTCACCATTCTGGTGCGCCACAGCTGGTCGAGTCCGGAGTAGTCGAGGCGAAACCCCAGATACCAGGCAGGAAACCAAAAAAACCAACTAAGGGTATTGGTACACTTTTTACTTGTAAGTGCCTTAATTGTTCAAGTAAATTTTGTATTTGAATCATAAAGAAACTGGGAAAGTAACATGTATGAAAGCAACATATATACTCATAAGTATCAAGTTAGATAACAAATATAAGGATTCAAAGCTGCTTACTTGACATGTTTAACTGACTTATTTAACTAATATGTTACATATAATTGTGTAATTGAAATTTTACCTACACTTATTATACTTTATATCTATATAATAACAATAATTTTTAAAAATAAAATAATGAAATAAAAAATAAACCATAAGCCAAAGAAATCACATACGCAGCAATAGAAACTTAGATAAATAATAAATTCTAAGCCAAACACATGATACACATAACAATAGCAACTAGCATAAGGCCTCTTTTTTTCCCTAAACCAAGTACAAAAATATATACTCACAAGTTACTTAATACTTGTTGGGGTAGGTACTATATATAGGTTTTCGAGTATTTGGCTAAGTAATAAATCTAAAAAGTTATGCCTAAAATTTTTCAAATCAGAAACCAAATATAGCTTATACCCAATTTGTACCCAAAAATGCTCACCCCTAATATAAACTTGTAATTTGATTTTATTTTAAATTAGGGAAGAAAACATTCTTCGAGGCCCATCTAGGAATTTAATCTTAACTTTTCACAAAGTTTCTCAATCTTATCATTTGACAAGGATATTGATAGACATTCCTTGAGTCAAAATCCCTGAAGGAAATTTATTTAAGGCTATCTTGTAGTGCAATTTTCCAAGCATGGGAAAATATTTTTCATTAGTAAAAGGGGAAACCAGATAAGCAATAAGCAACCTCTTTATTATGTTGGCAAGTATATCACATGGAAGCAATGATCAAATAGAGGTATAACACTCAAACCCAATCCAGACCCGCAACTATTAAAACATGACTAGCTCAGGTCTTTTCTATATTATTTCCATTAGAAATGAGACTGGAGGTACTTGATGACATTCTTGTCCAGCATGAAAGCCTTAGTAAGAACATCAGGATTAATACGTGGATTGGATCCGAAAACAGCATTTGCGATTACGATTGTGCCTGGATTCTGGCTACTAAAAGCAGCAATAGCAACAGCAGGAGTTTCCCCTATATTGAGCTGGAAGTGAATCATACCAATAGGGAAAACAAAAATATCTCCCTTGTTCAGCACTTTTGTGAAGAAACGGTTTCCATCCGAATCGGATGAGACAAAGCCAACATATAGTGTGCCTTCCTGGACTAGTAGAATCTCCGTTCCGCGAGGATGGGTGTGGGGTGGATTAAGACCACCTTTAGGAGCATAGTCAACACGAGCAAGGGATACACCTAGAGTGTTAAGCCCTAGAAGTTGTTCAACGGATGCTGGAGTGACAGCTGATCCAAGTGCATTGGATGTATTTCCTGGCTTGTCAAATCCTGAAAAGAAGAAGTCCTGTGCAACGACATGTTTTGGGTCCTTACAAAACTTCCCATTCACAAACACTGCACCAAAGATGTGTTATTCAAAAGAATGTCAAGCAAAATATACAATACACTTTCAAATGAAGTTGCTACAAAATGCAATATGAAGGAAGACATACCACCATTCTTGGTGTCATTGATGGCTACACAAAAGTCCTGGAGAGGGCTGGGGTCATATGCAGAGACAAAGGAAGAAGCAAAAGCCAAGAGAGCAAAAGCTACGAGGAAATAAGCACTTTTCATTGTTATAAGGCTGCTGCTAACTTGAATTCTTCTAAGTTTCTTTGTGAGGGATGAGAAACCCTTCAAAGAGACATGCGTATTTATGGTCATAGGAGTTGAAGTAGTTGGTGGCCTTTTCATCTCTATTTTAAAGAGGCAGGTGTAAGGCTCACCTACTCTTTAATGGTTATCCAAGTTTTCTTCATATACTTGCCAAATCTTTAATGGCTATATCCAAGTTTTCAAACCTTTAATGGCTATTTCTAAGTTTCCAAACCTTAAATGGCTATATTCAAGTTTTCTTCCTACACTTACCCCGTTCATTATTACTTTAAATTAAAGTTGAAGCAAAATTTTTCCATGCGTTAATGTCTTTGACTCCATCTCCTCAAAGTTTAGAAAAAAATTCAATTGACAAATAAAGGACCATTCCCGTAGATGTAACTAGCTTCGTGAATGATGCAATTTCATCGGTGCATGAACTTTGATAGGTTAAATGCTAATTTTGGTCCCTCAATGATGTGCTAAAATCATTTTAGCAAGTGTACTAATCACTCTAAGTAATATAATGATGAGAAAAGTGTCAAACCCACAAAAACTTTAATTAATTAATTACCAAAATAATTAGTCTAAATTTATTTGAATAATCGAAAAGGAAGAAACTTTAATAAAAAATAATAAAAATAATAACAATTAAAATAAAACTAATCAAGATATGTGGTATTAAGGTATCAATTTCACCATAATCAATTAATATAAATTTTGGACTAGTATGCTTCTAAAAACAATTTGTTGAGTGTTATTGCATGAGATAGCAAATTCTCCTAAATTAATTAACTAGTTTTCTTAAGTCAAGTTAATCCCTCAGTTGTTTGTCAAATTAATCATATCTCTCTGTAGTTTAAAACAAACTAATAAACATTAAATTCTATAGAAATCTTTAACTTAAGGAGGGGGAGCTCCCAACTCTTCTCCTCCTCTACTATCACATGTGATGCTAATTACCTCACACACATGGTTTATATTATTATTAGTCTAATTTTCACAATTCTTTCTTAAGTTCATGCATAAATCACCAAATCAATTAAAAGTTGATCAAGCTTTCAATGCATTAAGTTCACTAATATAAACTTATCACGCGAATAACTTTAATTAAAAGTATAAAAATCACAAATCTATAATAAATTGATTTGGCTACATTGCAACGCTAATAAAATAAATTAGTTCATGACAAAAAGAATAAAATTTGAAATTATAGTTATGAATATAGAAATATCAAGGAAGAATAAAATCAAATTTGAGAAAATTAAAATCTTTGATCTCTTATTATGAATGAGTCTTTTATCTTGATATCTAAAAATGTTCAAAAGAAGGCTACCACCAGCCTCCAAAGGCTTCCTCAATTTTGAATTTGGCTGGGTATTGATAGGATTTTAAAAACCTTAATTGAAATAGAAATGGAACCCACACCCAAAATAATAAATTAAACATGGATTTTCTAAAAATCACATAAGGGGTCAACACCTTCAATTAGGTATTGACACCTTCTATAAGTGTAGACTGAAATCACCATGTCGGGTTTTTGGCCTTCTAAACAGTGTCTATTAATGGTAAAATGATAATTCAGTTCCTAACTTTTGAACTCCGTACAACTTTATCCTCAGATTTTTTATCTTTACAATTTGCTCCTAAGAATTATGATTTCTTCCAAGTAAGTTCTTTTCTGCATAAAAAAATAAAAAGTATGTAAAATCAAGTAAAATCTCATAAAACTCATTTAAATATCCATAATATCATGGCAAAAATTCTACATTAATATATATATAAATTTAACTCATCACTCAACTTTAAGGTTTGCACAATTTTCATCCCTCACCTTTTTTATGTCATTTTTTAGTCCTTTAACTATAAAAAATGTACTTTTTTAATTTTTCCGTCAGTTAGTTTGTTTAGTTTGTTTAAATATACACATTTTCAATCTCTCAACTTAAAGTT